TAACAGTTTTAAGTATAATCAAATAGTGCAGTTTACTTGCAGTGCAACTAATTTTGAAACATCAGTTGCTATAGCCCTATGTTTGTATTCATTTCTGAAGATGAGTGTTAGATTTGAATGGTCACTTAAAAATTTTCCATTTTGGTGTGGATTTTTGAGGCACACTTGAGCATCAATATATTCTTTTATCAGTAAATGTAACAACAACATGATTTATGACTAGTTCATCTACATTCCTTCTTGATCAAAACAAAATTAGGGTAAAAAAGAAAAATTAAACCCCCTCTGTTCAAGGGCTGTCTATGGCCATTAGTTGGTGCTTTTTCCTGACACATCCTTGTGTACTGACTCAGACTCAGCAAGTGAAAATTGCACTTGCAACCCCTAAATCGCATCAACTGCCTTCTCTTGTAACATATCTCAGGTGCACTGTGGTTTTATAACTATATATCAGGCTTTCGGGAAAGCAGATCTTTTCTAATTATACAGTTTCTTACCTTTTTGAAACAGATTATCTCCTCTGGTAAGATTGTTCTAAAATGTAACTTAAGTATTGAAATATCCATAAATAATCCTATAAAATAGCAGACTATGTTGTCAAAGCTTCTGATTATTGGTAATTTCTATTGTAACAGAAACCAATGCATTTTAGTCTAGAATGAACATTTTAGCCATAAGCTTCTATAATAAGCATGTGTGGGTACACCAGAGGAAAAAAAAAAAAAGAAAAGAAAAGAAAACAAAACAAAACAAAAACGTTCCCTACAAGTAAATAGAAACTTCATATATGTAGATATATAGCACAACTTCTGCTGCTTTTTCCCAAGGTTGAAAACACTGAAACCCCACCCTGTTTCAAGCAAAATCATTGCTACTTCATGACCAAAGGTAACTACATTGGCTCTCTGTGGCAGAGGAACAGCAGATCATGCTCTTATAGTAGTAAGACCTCTGCTTCTTTTCATCTGAAACACAGTGCCAATGGATTAGTACAAAGGGGAACTCCTTAAAGAAACATAAAGCCTTCTTGGGATATAGAAATCATGCCAAAGCAATGAAAATAAAATGTTTTCTGAAACTGTGGGTTTCCATGAATGGAAAAACACTTTATATCTCTAAGAATGCAGGATAAGTACAGCAAGGTAATCAGCTTTTCCACCTTGTCCTAAACTTTCTGACAGAGAATTCTAATGAGAAAAGCAAGTTTCATACTCCCCCTTCACCTTTTGTCCTATAAGTGGCAGTAAACCTTTATGTATTATGGCTAGGAAAGGTCAAGGACAGGGACCAGATAGAATACAGAGAGAAATAACTAAGACTGCCACACAGGATTCTCCACAGATTGAACCAGATAATATTTCTGAAATAAAAAGTACTATATTTATCTTCAATATATAAATTTGCATATGCTTTCAATATCAAACTGTCCTGATTTCAATGAGACATTAATTTTTAAGTTTTCAGTTTAAAATTGGATTGTGTAAGGATTGGTGTGTTTTGTCACAAGGTAGTCTATCCCAGTACATAATTGATTTATTTAATATGAGCCAATACAATGCCAATATTTTCAGTAAGAGATCTATCCAGCACTACTCATATTGACACTACTCAATCAAGCGTGCTCTCACATTCAGCCAATTTCTTTCTGGGACTCTGCTTCAGCAGCTGATTGAGAAATTAGTCTCAACAAATGAAATCATTATTACTTGCTGTTCCTGAACCCATCTAGGAACACCTGAGACAAGACAGACTGTTCAAAACCATCTTCTCCAACCGTTAATTCCTAAAAATAATTAAATGTCCCACTGTAGTACAGAAATGTATTCTGTTCTCCTGACACGAGAATAAGCCTTAAGATTTTTCTCACTACAGAAATGAATTATTTTGTATTTTGCCAACAGTAAAAAAGTAATACAATCCTGTACATTAAAAAAAAACAAACAAAACCCCAAACAAAACAAAAAAAACCACCAACCAAACAAACCAACTAACCAACCAAACAAAAAACCCTACCAAAACAAAAAAAGGTGAGTTACGCATGGTGCATAAGTGATCTGTGCTTTGCTACTGTAAAGTCACTTCAACTTCACAAATGCTGAGAGTTTAGCAAGAAAGTGTAAAAAATCTATTGTGTTAATCATTATGACCACTTAACTACTGCACTTCAGCATTTGGAGAATTTTGGCTTTTGAAAACTGATTTGGTAAATCTGTTGACTATGTAAATTCACACCTGAATATGATCTCAAATCCTTTAGGAACACATTTTATTTCCATCTAAAGCAGTATTTATTCTCCACTGAATCCAAATATCTTTTTTTTTTTTCTTTTACTGCTATGATCACTATCTCAAAAAAAAAAAATTAAAATCAAGTTGCAAACCATTAAACAGCAAAGTAAAAAATACCTTGAGGCTATTAACAGAGGAATTTATAAATTTCTGTACAAGTGAATTTGGTTTATTTGTAGATCACAACATACGGAAAAATAATTTGAAAAAATGATACTTGTTTCCATTGTTACTATAGTCAACTGTCACTCGATCCTGCAAGTCTTTAACTTTAAACAAGCCTTACAGTGACATCAAAATGTGTAGGAGGTTAACACATCAAAAATCTAAAGCAAAAACAAAAAAATGGAGCAATAATAATGGTTTTGATCTCTCTCATGACTCCCCAGCAGTCTAAAACCAAAGTCCTATATAATGCATATCTAGCATGACTTTCACGGTTATCCTCAAAACCTGTGTATGGAAAATTTTCCTTACTTGGACCTCCACTTTCCTATCTCATAGGATAAAGTAGGCCTACTTTAAGAACATTATCTCAATTCACTAGAAAAGCCCTCTTAATTCTTATTAAAACAATCCAATCTGTTTGAGGCAAGATTTTTGTTTTATTTAGAATACTAAACCTTAACTAATTAAGGGCAATATTAGGATGTTAATTAACATACACAAGCCAGCTTTTAAGAATCCAGTGCGCACACATGCCAGTTCATAGTAACTGAAGCCTGGACCCCAGTGCCATAGTTTGCCCAACAGGCAGTGCCTAATGCCATCCTCTTCTACAACCCCATTCCAAGAATCATACATGCAATCCAATTCATTGGTAATGGACTTACCTGTGGTGATGAGGATCCACTATTTATCCTCATTAAGAACTAAGTGGAAGGTAGCCACCAGTATTTAGTAAGACCAGCTTCAAATTTCATTATCAACAAGATGATTTTCCTTTTCCCTTAGAATCTAACTGGGTAGTCAATATACTTACTACACTGAAAAAAGAAAACACACCTACAGTTTTAGTACTGGACTTCAGCTAGTAGGTTTTTTGAGTTACACCCTCTTTGACTGCCACACTGCTCAGCCATACCACAGTTTTCCAGTTTCACCTTCAGCTGTCCTTAAGAGTTATCTTCCTTGACCAAAATATAAATCACTGAAAAGACAGGGCTCACCTTCAGTTTTGTCAAGTTCATCAATACAAAACAACAAATTAACTACTGAAATAAGTGAGGTTGGGGTTTACAACACATAGCCTAAATGTTAAAAATCCCTCCAATTAAATGGACTATCTCATTATTCCCTTTTTTTTTTTTTTTTTTTTTTTAAATCAAACAAGGATAGTTTAGGCATAAGCACCTAATCTAATTCAAGAACTACATTCAGTGAATGGAAACACATGATGGTTACCACCCCTTCAAGAGCAAAAATCCTAAAAAAAAATTAAAATAATAAGATCACTGTTTATCAGCAGCCAAGTACAATCTCACATATATACCCCAATACTCAGTATGAATATATGAATATGTTTTAAATATGGACAAATTACTTATGTAACATAAGCCACCTTCTTTCTGGCAAATTTTGCTCAGAAAGTTAAATATATACTGTTCATCTTTGTATACCAAAATATCCAGACAGCTGGTGCAGAAAGGAAATAAAACCACCTTACATTTTGCTCAAGAGAGATAAGGACAAAAAAAAAAATAAAGAGAACAAGCACTTTTTAATTTCATTTGATGATTATAATCAAAACACACAGTGTAAGATTTTTGAGTACTACAGACCTATGTAAAATAGTCCAAATACCAGATCAGAGATGAAAATTACGGGGCAAAACGATGGAACATTTACTCAGTGCTCTGGTTTTCAACTTCTAGTGAGTTCTTAATTTATTAGTAATAACTTGTTTTTCTTGGAGAGGGTTCAGAAAAGGTTGGGAGACTTTTCTAAGCACCAGCTTAAAAATACTTACAACTATTCTAAATGCCAGTTTAAGAAATTTATAAATAAAATTGAACATTAGGACCTCTAAACTTGGAGAGACATGCTTAGAACAGGAAATGATAATTTGTTAATAAAGAAAGGTAAATCATTCTCTAGGCTTCCGGTGGGAAACTTGGCAGCAAAAGGATTTTGACCTCAGTGGAAGGTAACTGCGACAAATGACAAATCAAGCAACTTTCTTCTTACAAGTGAGGCAAATGTTTGGCATTAGGCTGCACTGCATTCAGATCTATCATTCCCTGTGGCATATTCTTCTACCTTTAACAAATAATCCTGCAAGCTTTTTGCACTGACCACATTAATTACCCTTTTTTTTCTCCTCTCTCTGAATAAAGCCATGCAAGCCTAACATTTTTTGTGAATGATTACTTATTTCCTATTCGAAGCACAAAAGCTCATCACTTATAGAATAGGTCAAGCTTTCAGTGCCTATTAGTCCCAGTCTGGAATGAATTAATGCATTTTCCTATGTTCGTTTTCCTTTTCTGTTGTAGAAACAGTATATGGGACATCTGTGCTAAGGAAGAGAACAAAAATCCTGTATTATTTTCAGGTGAAGTAAACAGTAACAAAAAAATACACTTAAAAACTCTATTTTCGTTTACCTATTAGGCTCACTGTAACTATAGTACTGTGAAGTTTGCAATTAGAACTACCAGTTCTCCCAACTCAAAACAAAAAATGGGGGGAAAAAATGACAAGTAGCCCAGTTTAATTTCAAACGTTAATATATTTTCTATTTTATAGTGAACATATGCATCGTTCACCCCTTATTTGCAGCAACTATGACGTCCTCATAAAAAGGGGTGACATTTTTAAGATGCCTCTTAAAATAAATATTTCTTTTTATAAAATAATAAAACTTCAAATAAATATTTTTTACACTAAACAATATGTTGAAAAATTAGAAAATAAAGGCTGAATTTTACTGTAACTGTACAATATACATGAAGTCCAAAGGGAAATCAAAGTCTTGTAATAGGTTTCCGTAAGACAAAATACAATCTAAAAACATACTGATTGATTCACATTCTTCCGAATGTACAACATATTAGTATAATATTTTATGACTGTGCCATGTTTTATGACACCACTTACTTTTCACAGTTGAAAATATTATTGTATGTACAAAAATATAGCACATTATCTCTGGCAGAAAACAATGAAAAAAAAGCAGTCATTTGCTAATTTACAAATCTTGCAAGTACTATTCACAAACAATAGAGTTGCCTAGGAGTGTCTGTGTTGCTTTAGCTTATGCAATATGTGGGTCACAATGTACTGCATCCCTTTTTTTTTTCCTGTATGCCACTAGCTGGATCGTAACAAGCGTATCAGTTAAGATGGCACACACAGAGAAAAGCATTTCACTGCAAACAGCAAAGTACATCCCCAACCCTTCTACTACAGTGCCAAGACCATAGCTGCTTAGTTGGTTGCATATGTATGTTAAAATAATAATCCTTGTTACTTTAGTATTTCTGACTAGTGATGCTATGTTGGCTTTTCAAAGTTCCTGGGGGGGACGCTGGGAACTTTGCAGCAAACGGTGTTGGAGTGTTTACAGCGGCACCCAGGCCGATTTACCCGGTCGTAACAGCCCTGGCACAACTTAAGGCAACCCTTGGCTGGTAGGTAACACCACAAGCAAGGCAGAAGGAGGGACACTACACCCATGGCGGACCACCTAGTGCAGCAATGTGACTGACTGCAGGAGCAGGGGTTGTCAGCACAGTTGTCCTCATCATCATTAGAGCAGTGATAGAAGAGGCCCTTCACGCAGCAAACGCAAGTCCCATAATCAACCACGTTCTGGGCTGAGCAAAGACATTGCTTGTCACAAATCCAGCATGAGGGCAGGGTCCTCGGATAAGTGCACTCCTTACACTTACACTTTCCACAGTCTTCACACCTGTAGCTGTGCGCTCCCAAGTCTTCTTTGCTCAGGGGCTTCAGCTCGCTCGACTTGAGCTCAGACTTGGGCTGCATCCGGACTATCCCATCAGCAACTGGCCCTGAAGATGATCCTAGAAGTCTCTGTTCAGATGAATTACTGCTCGTACTTGTCCTTGTACTGCTCCGTGAACCTGTGCTGACTGTGCTGATAGACCGGGACAGAGGTGCCCGAGGAGATGTGTGTGTCTGTGTGTGCTGAATCCGGCTAAAATGACGATGCTCAGGCAAGCCATGGGGCCTCTCATTTTTGGGTTGGGTTGACAGCCGAGGAGTGGACTTGACCCCTGGCCGTGGAGCCACCGTAGGTCCTTCTGTGTATTCATTCGTGTTTCGGATGGCTCTGATCTGGTCCAATGACAAGACGTGAACCTGCTGCATTAGAACATCCCGCAGGTCAGGCTCCCCGTGTGGTCTCCCACTGTCACGCCGAGCCTGTAGTAAGGGCTGCGACCCACTGCTGTGCTGAGCTCTTGTCTCCATCAGTGCCTGGAAGCGTGCTCACCCCGGCAGGCTTAGAACACATCTGAAATCCTAGAGCAACAAAAAGAGGATTCACTATTGCAACACATCTCATGCTCACTCCAGCAGCCTTTCAAGCCTGCAGGACCCCACAGCACTGCACGCAATCAAGTAATGCATCGGTCATTAAAAAAAGGAGTTTAGGAGTCATCTAGGGCAGAGCAGGGGCACCAGTCAGCTGAATGTAGTTCCCTTGGCCTGTTCTACCTTCTGCTGTGGAGAGCTTAAGGGGATTCTTTTCTAGGACCATGCAGCTTAACTTGTGGCTCTAGAAAGTCTAGGTATTGCTCCTGCTAAGTAAGGCTTTCCAGGCCATCTTCTGGTCAGACCACGGCCTTTAAAGTGATTTCAGCCACTTGAAGTGACAGTTATTTCACATCAGGCTACTGAAAAACTTATATTAAAAAAATAAAGCCTGCAAGTATTCAGCAAGTGTAATGTGACCTGCTGATGACAGACATATAATTCTCCAATTTTGTTTAAAACTGAATAATATTTTGGTAGGCTAGTCTCTTTACACATTAAATTTTACACGATGTAAATAGGAAATTTTAGTTTAATACCAATGGTCCCAAGAAAAACACTAAATAGTAATAAAATGTTTGAGGTTAAGACATTAAATGAGTTAGTGCTACCAAAAACTTCAACAGCACAAGTAAAAATATCTCTCTTCAGTATTTTAGTGTGTGTCATAGTTGTGTACACCACTGTGATTGTTATTTTAAGGCTCAATACTACAAAAGCAATGTTACCACAGTTGTTTGGGGTTTTTTTTAACATGTAAAAAATTCCATAGACTACATTTCAAATTGTAAATATTACCAAGAGTGGCTTGTGGGATAGAGGCATGCATAATATAATCAAACAATGCCAACATCCAAGAAGTCTACTTGATTGTGAATATTACTTTAAGAGATCATTAACTACAAAGCAGAGATGCAGAGGTAAGAATTCAAATGAAAGCCCAGTGAAAGACACAGAAGATGAGAATCTGTAAGTAACTTCCACACTCAGATATGTACAAGTTTCAAATATTAACTGAATTAGTTAATATTTGGTTTGCCTTTATCATATCCTAAAGTGGCTCCAAAATCCAATTACCTATACAAAAATCCAGAAAATATTTTACAACTAAAACTCAAGTAGGAATTAACTGTCTTACAAGAACCATGCAATGTCTTTAATTATACCCAGAAAAAGCACCATAGTGTTACTCTGAACACATAAGTTACCAACAATAATACTATACCGCAGTATAATAAAATATAGTCAAGCAGTTTAACAATGAATATCTTTATTCTAACAGCAATGCAAAACATTTAACCTTTTAATTCCTGGCTCCCTTCCTTCAGGTGTTTTTTCTTTAAAAAAAAAAAAAATCCAACTGTGACCACCTATTTTAAATATTGTCAAATCCTGGTTTTGGACACAGGAGGTATGTCACGGTGTCCATACCTCACAAATGAAAAACAAAACAAAACAAAACAAAACACCAAAACAAACAAACAAACAAACCACAAAAGTCTTGCAAACTTGGCTTGAAGCATTGCTTATGTTTTCACCAAAATAAAATCTCTGCCATATCAAAACTTCCAACCAACATCCTAAGCAGACGTTCCCCTCATCTGAAATTATCTGAAGATGAAAAATAATAGAAAATAAAATACTTTCCCCATCCTTGAGAGTAACTGGCAGCCCTATCTGCCCTCCACGTCCAGATTTCCGCCAGCCCCAGCCAGCCTAGAGGATACTGCCTCTCCAGAAATGACAACCACTACAAAAGCAAAGCTGACCCTGACCTGAAGGCGCTTCAGAAGACCCTGGGCTCGGTGGCGGAACCCCTTCAGACGCCAAGGTGGGAGCTGGAGAAGCAGTCTCCGGTCTCCGCTCCCCTCCCTGTCTCCGGCTCCATAGGGGGCGGGGGGCGCGCAGCAGGTGAGAGGCGACGGCCCCTAGCCCGCCCGAGAGTGCAGACAACCTGGAGATAACCAGGAGACATCCTCTGAGCTGGTAGATGGGAGGGGGCGGCTGTAGCCGCCTTATCAGAATGTCAAATCCATGTTTCCTTTTAACTTTTCCCCCTGCCCTCCCCCAGGAGATGCTAAAGGAGCTTCCCCTCCCGGGAAGTGCCAGGCGCCCTGCAGACGGTGCAGACAACACCTCCGGGACAGCTGGGCAAAAGGCAGATTACCCCCCTCGCCTTGCCCTAAGCACCCATTCAACTTCACAAAGCCAGCCGCTGGAAAAGCTCCTCTTATTTTACGCATATTCTGCAAATTGCCTGACCTTCAGCCCGCCCCGTTCCGCCCCAGCCCGGAGGGACCCAGGAGGCATTTTCAGTGGGGCATCGGGCCGAGCTTGGCGATCCCCCTTTTTTCTCCCCTTGACAGATCCGCTAAACAGGACAGGATGCAAAGAACCAGCACATTTATTTGAAACGTACATTTGCCTAAAAATCCTTACGGATAGGCACGTCTCTCCCTCTCCTGACCTAGCACTTCTCCCCTTTGCATCCGCCAAGAGAGAGAAGCAGATTTGCCTTTTTGTGAGTGCATGTGTGTGATAACATGATTCCCCACTTCTAAGAGCCAAAGTCCACTCTCACGGAGCTCAAGTGCCAGGATTGCTAACTTTTCCTAGCTAAGCGTGGCAAAAGGTCGAGCGAGGGGGACGAGTTTCGCATCGGCACATTTTGGGAAATTTAAAACGCGAGGGGTTTCTTGCATGCTGTGGAAAAAACCCATGTCTTGCTGACCGGGGAAAGGCGAAGCCTAAGGGAGAGAAGTCCTCTGCCCATGAATTTCTGTTTTGTGGCCGGAGCCTGTGCAAGACACCCCCACCCCCTTTCCCAACGCATACACACCAACCACCTCCTTTTCTTTCAAAGTGCTTTGAAACCCCCATTAAGGGCCGAGTGTGTGATCAGACTATGGATTAGGGCAAAAGGGACTTTACCATCGGGGTGGGGCAAAGTGACACACAAATAGCTTGCTGAAAACACCAGCAGCTTTTTTCCTTGGGTGGAAGGGGGGTTGCTACGAAATAAAGCCACTAAAAAAAAAAAAAAAAAAAAAAA